AGGAACCTGGTTTGCATACAAAGAAGTCAATTGGTTGTTTGAAAAGGGTATTTGAGGGGGTGAAAGCATATATACACATATATATCTATTTTTTGTTTTACCTTCATAAATTTAATAGATATATATATATTTTTTCAGGAAGGGAAGTTTTTGATGCCTGTTTGGACATGAGAATTTTCATTTTTATGTATATTTAATTCTTTTTTTAAAAAAAAAAACTTTAATCCTTTTAAAAGTTGCTTGTGTTAAACTAAACTTTTCTTAGATCATTCAAGTACAACAAAATAAAACAACTGCCTAAGAAGTCATCTTCTTGAATTTTCTTTTCTGGGTATGATTCCAAAAGTTTTGATCTTAAGTTGTTTGGTTCTTGGTGTTGTTCATGATGATGGTAAGGCCTGTTTGGATTGACTTAAAACTCCATTCATGGTAGTATGTTTCTTTTGAAGATTGTGAATTTTCTTTAAGAAAATTTATTTTTATAGCAAGAAAAATTTAATGGTATGATTGCTTCATATAAGTATATAATAATTATTGTCATTTTCTAAAATAGGAGTTATATTTTTTTTTTTGAAAAGATATAATTAATAATGAATATTCTCTATGAAAACTAATGATGAATAAATATAAATAACATGTTTCTATATATTATATATAGGCTTAGACTCCAAGAAAAAATAGTAAAGGTTTATTTTTTAAATGATATTATTTTTTATTAGTATTCTATTAATTGTATATAATCATTTTATAATCATTTAACAGCAAAATAGTACAATGATTATTTTATACAGTTATAAAAAAATTTAATAAATTATTAAATAAAAAATATTTTGTGCATATATTAGTTTTATCTCATCCAAATAATATAATTTTTTGGGGGATTAATGGTTTATATTTATTATATACATCTTTTCTTTTTTTCAAAAAAAAAAAACTAATTTGCATTTCCATATATATATATATATATATATATATAGCTAAATTTCCATATAAAATATATGTATAACCCAAGACCAAACAAGGGACTAAAGTTTTGGGTAATAAACCATTCATAAATCTCCATTGCTGTTTAAACAAATTGAAATAAGCAGTTTCTCTCATAAAGTTCTTAACTTCCCTGTTCACTCAGCCATTAATCTTCTGCAATCCCCGAGTCGGAACCACTTCAGAGACTGTTGTAAACCTATAAACTAAAGAACCCAGAAGTAGTTTTCAGCTTTTGTCTCGGAGAACTTAAATTCGCCAACCCAGCATGACGGATAATGATAACAGTAAAAGCACGGCGACCAATGTGGCTCGAGCGATTGTTGTCGCACTTGATTGGAGTTCTACTCCCGACGCCCGCAGAGCGGCCGTTTCCTTCTTAGAATCCGTACTCCTCCTCGTTATTCTTTTCGTATTTAATCATGTGCATATGTGTATGTATGTCCGTATTTGTTTGATTGTAAGTCTGTTTGTTTCATCTGTTGTGTTTCTGAATTCCTATCTGGTGGGTTTGTTCTGTGCCTTCTCTTTCAATGGGTTTGTTCTGTGCCTTCTCTTTCTCTCCTTATTGATGAAAGGTTTGAATTTTAATGGGTGATGATGATGTGAGCAATTTAGAAGTTTGTAAAGGTTCAATTTTTTTTAGGTGGTCTGATCATTAGTTTGATTTGAGTATCTTGGTGTCAACAGAAAAACCTATTCATTAGTTTGATTATACTGTGATGTTTAGTCTTTCCAGGCCCAGATGGTGAAATTAACTGCAAGGTTGTGAAACAGAATATATGAGACTTAAATTTTGTATTAGTAGAAGTTCTTGTTGTCTTTTGATCGAATGTGAATGAGATGAGCGAGGATTAGTATCTTCTCTTGGTCTTCACTGTCTCTGCCTCTCTCCCCCTGCAGAATTTTCTGTCTTCTCATTCCAGAAGCCTAATCATCTGCTTCTGTGTTGATATATGTTTACAGAATCTCCAGTTCTGAAAGCAAATGATTTGGGTAATCCAAATTTAATTTTTGTTTGAACTGCTTCGCGGGAATTGTTCCATTGGGATTCTTTTTTTCTTTTTTTAATATGATACTGAATTTCGATGAGCAAGCAAAGTTGTTGCTAATTAGGCCTGGAACTGGTGAACTGTTTGAGTTCTTTTATTTTTTAAATCCTCTAGGTTTGGATTTAGGTTGAGTGGATTTAAGAGAAAGGGAACAAGACTAAGTGTCAGGACAGTGGTACTTGTGCATTGTGTTTCACTTTATGCTACTCTAGGGTTTGAATTAATTTAGAATTTAAGTGGCTAAGTAGGTCTGCAACTTGGTTATTTATATGTGATTTTGAAGAAGATTTTCTACATGTGATACTTTAGATTTCATTGCTGTAAATTGGCTTGGAAACAAAATTTTTGTGGGTTTTGACAGAAAAATGGTTGGGTCTTTTTCTTTTAACTTATTCAGTAATGCTTATTCCATCGATACTTGCAGATCAAGACTGGAGATGTAAGGATTTTGGCAAACACATCATTCCTTCTAGTCAGAAAGGACTGGTCTTCCGAGATTCGTTTACATGCATTTAAAATGTTGCAGGTTCGTGCTTACATTCCATATCTTTTCATTTCTCATGATTTATTTCAAGAAAACTTTTCATTTATCGTGATTTTATACATCCAATTTTATGACAAATAATTTATCTGCAAGGTATTTATCTTACAGTAAGTCGTTAACTAGGAAACTATATTATAAAATGCTGAGCAGTTTAGAAATCTGCGCAGAAGTATTGAGCTGGTCATTCACTTCCATAAGTACAGCTAGAATTCTTGCTAATTGCATATAGACTTTGTGACAAGTTCAATACTCCATTTATATTATATTTAAAAAAACTCTATTTATATTGTAGTGATCTTACTGTATATTAAAGTGTTGAGAAAAGGTGTAGAATTTTTAATTTAACCTCAAATTATTATATTTTCAGTGAGGCAATATCGCTTCCTTTTTTCCTTTTTGCATTTGCAAATATCTAAAGCACACCCCTAGTACCCTCTACAGAATCCCCGCCTTTGATTTAAATACTTAATTCTAGGCTCTTATGGAGAGCATTTGGTGTGAATAGCTTGAAGTGAATTCAGGTTCCTCTTGAGTTAAAGTGTGTAAAAGTTCACTTAGCATTCTGGAAAATATTTCCTTAGTTAACTTTCCCCATGCCTATTAACCTGCATCTGATGATATTTGTTGAGTTAATGCTCTTCAAATTATATATTCTTTCTTAAGTGGCTAGGCATAACGCACATACTTTTCTTTGTTTTTGCAGCATTTGGTTCGGCTGCGGTGGGAGGAATTGAATCCTTCAGAACGTAGGAGTTTTGCTAATGTTGCTGTTGACTTAATGTCGGAGATTGCTAATCCTTGTGAAGAATGGGCTCTTAAGAGTCAGACAGCTGCACTTGTTGCTGAGGTTTTTTCATCCTTTGCTTTGAGGTGTTTAAGTGGCTAAGCAGCCTAAGCTGTTGCTGATGCCCATTTCACCCCTTTAACTATTGTTTTTACACTTCTCACAGATAGTTCGAAGGGAAGGACCAAATCTGTGGCAAGAGTTCCTTCCTTCTCTAGTTTCTTTATCCAGCCAGGGTCCAGTACAAGTAAATTTGTGCAGAACGTCTTTCAATTCTGTAAAAATATAAATTGCATCCATATATTAAAATTTTCCCTTGATGTTAGGCTGAGTTGGTCTCGATGATGCTGAGGTGGCTTCCTGAAGATATTACAGTTCACAATGAAGATTTGGAAGGTTTAAAGAATTCCCTTCAGTGTTCTTTTTGTTGTATTTTGATGTGTGGAACAAAATCTCAAAAATGCTACTTTTGCTGAAGTGTTATGTAAAGTACACACATACAAACTAAAGACTTTACAAAGACTTTGCTTGTCATTTTCTTCTTAGTTTAAGGGCTTTCCCTGTTTTCTTTTTTTTTGGTAAAAAAAAAAAAAGAATTTCCATTTTTGCTGTTGTATAGGTACAGTAGGATTTTTAATTATTTATGTACTTGCGGATCTACTTCCCTTTATGACATGGTTCTGAAATTTGCTACCAGGTGATCGGCGTAGACTACTATTACGTGGGCTTACTCAATCATTGCCTGAAATTTTGCCTCTGTTGTATACTGTATGCCTCCATCATAACTTTGTTAAAAAAGTTATTCTTTTAGCATTATCTGAAGTCATCATTCCTGATACAGCTTCTGGAAAGGCATTTTGGAGCTGCATTAAGTGAAGCGAGTAGGCAGCAAGTCGATGTTGCCAAACAGCATGCCACTGCAGTAACAGCTAGTTTGAATGCCATCAATGCATATGCTGAGTGGGCCCCTTTGCCTGATCTAGCTAAATATGGGATCATTCATGGGTATGACAGTTTTTTCTTGTGGTTTTGTGAAAGTGTTATCTAAAATCTTTTATATGGGTTGGTCTCTGATTCTATCCTTCTCTCTGTAAATAGGTGTGGTTTTTTACTCTCTTCTCCTGACTTCCGACTTCATGCCTGCGAGTTTTTCAAACTAGTCTCTCCAAGGTGAGAAATTCAATTATTCAGTTTCTCAATATTACCTTGTCAAAATACATCAATTTTTCTGTTATTCACAACTTCTCCTCTGTCTTGCAGAAGGAGACCTACTGATGCTTCTGCCACTGAATTTGACTCTGCAATGAGCAATATCTTCCAGATTTTGATGAATGTCTCCAGAGAATTTTGGTACAGATCAGCATCAAGTGGGGCTATAGATGAAAGTGATTATGAATTTGCAGAGTACGTATGTGAGAGTTTGGTGACTTTGGGTTCTTCAAACTTGCAATTTATTGCTGGTGATGGAAACATATTTCCAATTTATTTGCAAGAGGTGATTACATCTCAATAACTTTATTTTGAATGAATACTTTATATTTTATTTTTTTAAAAGAGAGCAATATTTTATTATGTTTTTTTTTCTTTCTTATGAAGGTATATTGCTCTGTATTCATATCTCCTTCTTCCTTTTAATATATCTTCTTTTTCTATCCAAAGAAAAAGAGGGAACAGTGTATGTAGGCATTGTTGATATCTTAATTGCTAAAGATTATACAGAGATTCTCATAAATGTAAAAGAAACCTGTGGAAAATATCTTCTTCTGTTATATACCCTTTCTCTTTCTAATAATATTATTCTCTAAAATTAATTAAAAAAAAAAGAAAAAAAAACTGAAAAAGATAAGAATTACTAAAATCTGAAAGGTGATATAATTTTGACGATATGGGATGTCAAAACTTTTAACCATTTGGAGTTTTTATGCTTGGAAAGCCACCATCGGACGACATATGCTTTTTATCATAACCTGGATTTAAGAGGTTTTCTTATCTTATGACTGAGTTTGAAATGTAACTAACGAGTGGATTCACATCTGGTGTCTGCTTTTTGTTTTCAGCCGAAGCTCTTCTAACTTCACTTTTATTAAAAAAGAAAAATTGTAATGACGGACCTCCTACTGTATATATTTTGTCTCTTGCTCCTTAGAATTCTCTGCTGTACCATGATATTTATTCTCTATTCTAACACAGCCCCAATGAGGTTTGGTGAATAAACAACATTTCAAGGATAAGCAAGTATTATATCTGCTTAAATTGACATAGTGATCTTCAGCAATAACCACCTTTAGCACTCGTAATTTGGTTTCTATCAGTCTGACCTTGTCTACACCGCATGTTATTTCAAATCTGGAAAATCATGCGCATATTTCTTCGACTTTAGGTTCTTCGTAGAAATTGGTCTTTTATAGACGGTAAATGCATAACTTTTTCAGTGGACCTCTATTTGGATAACTATTCGCTGGCAAATTCGGAATTTACATCCCAGGATTAAATTTCTTTCTATATTTCAATAGATTTGAGATATTCTCATTTACAACCAAGCAGTCCTTTTCAGGAACATTTAATGAGTAGCTGAGTTACCTAATTGGAATTTGACCCCTTCCTATCTTTTTCAGATGCTCGGATTCTTTCAACATTTTAAGCTGGCTCTTCATTATCAATCCCTGTTGTTTTGGCAGGTAAGTATAGTTTCGTTTTAAATATTCTATAGAGATTCCTCTAAAAAAAATCTTTCGATACATGACACGGGGATTAAACCCCTAACGTCGTGCTTCACAGCATGTGATTTCTGCCAAGAGCCGAATTGGTTGGACTTGTTTAAAAAATAATTATTACTATAAGATAACCATAACAAAGGATAAATAGCATGCTTCTCTGTTCAAGTATTTTTCATGTTCTCTTCACCTGTAGGCATTGATGAGAGATTTAATGTCGAAGCCCAAGGGTGCTTCTCATCCAGCTGGAGATGGTTCAACAAATAATAATGTGGACAGCTCTGGACAGGTTAACAACGAAAAAAGAAAGATTTTAAGTTATGTGAATGATGATATTTGTAGCGCGATTTTGGATATATCTTTCCAGCGCATGCTTAAGAAGGAAAAAGTTCTTCCTGGAATGGACCTTTCTCTGGTTCCCTTGGAGTTATGGAGTGAAGGTTTCGAAGGCAAGGGTGACTTTGGCCAGTATCGTTCAAGGCTTGTATGAACTCTAAATTTTTTGTTTCTGCTTCTTAAGATTACGCTTTCTTGATTTTTAGATTCTTATAAACATGACATCAGTTACAATTCTCTTTCCTGTTTTGGTTATATGTTTTTTCTGTGATCTGAGTTACTATTATTCTTGGCATCTTAATGAAGCGTTTATGGAATGTAAGATGAATGTAAGTGTCTTTTTTACTGAAAACCATAGCATGGGATGAATTTTGATCTGGGCAGGTAAATGTTATCGGTCCATTCTATTGATTTTGATTCGAAATTCAATTTGAATGAAGACAGATGTCATATTAAAGGTGGAAGTTAGGTTGGTGTTCTCGGGATTGCTTTTCCAGGGTTGATGCACTAGGACTGTTTTTCACTGATTTGAAGAAATTGTCAGGAAAACTCTGTTAGCAATGACATTCTAAATGTGGCATCGGTTACTTATAATGCAATAAAGTATATGTTTGCTTGCTTTTATTCCATTAAAATTTCCTTGCCCTTGGTTTCCAAGCATAACAAAAATCTCAATTTTGTTAAACCTGTATCACGTTAATCAAGCAATGTGATTACTGTTCATATACATACATGTTTCTGAAAATTTTAGCATAATGCTTAAACAAAATTTTGGGATACCAAATCATGGATTCTGCAGGTTTTTCTTTTCTCAATAGACTTTTTTTTCAATTATCTGTTGCATTGATGAATAAGTTTTTTTCCCCTTAACGCAGTTGGAGCTGATCAAGTTCATTGCTTCCTACAAACCCATCATAGCCAGTTCTAAAATTTCTGAAAGAATTATTTCAATCATTACAAGACTCTTGGTTTCTCCAATGCCTGCTCAGGTTTGATTAGAACACTTTTGGTAGGATATATTTGTAAAATTGCTTGCTTTATTGATATTGTTAGTCCAATGCACCATTAACTGTTGCTTATTATAAATACATACTTTCTAATTTTCAGGATTTAGCGGTGATGGAGAGCCTGCAAGTGGCTCTAGAAAATGTTGTGAGCACTGCTTTTGATGGGTCGAATGATTTTGGTCGAGGTAGTCCCGAAGTTCAGGTTGTGCTGCATGGAATCTTTGAAGGTTTAACAACTTCATTGTGATCTTTCAGAATGTTTTAGAGCTCTTTAATTGGAGCCAACTGAGAAACTTTTTGCTTCAAATTGAAGGTCTGCTTCAGCAACTTTTGTCTCTGAAATGGACTGAACCAGCTCTTGTGCAAGTACTTGGCCACTATTTAGATGCAATGGGACCCTTTTTAAAGTATTTCCCTGATGCAGTTGGCAGTGTCATCAATAAACTATTTGAGCTTCTAACTTCACTTCCTCTTGTTGTCAAGGTTTTCTATCTTTCTATCTTTATTTTTCAATTGTGATTGCTTATGTAGGGAACCAAAATAAGAGCATTGTTTTCATCTGTATATTACATGGCAGGATCCTGCTACAAGTAGTTCAAGACTTGCAAGATTGCAGATTTGTGCATCATTTATACGAATAGCCAAGGCTGCTGACAAAAGCATACTGCCTCACATGAAGGTGATTCCTTACCCTTTCTCTTTTCATAAGGGATCCATTGGGCTCGTGGGTTACACACGAAGCCTCTCCCTTAAAAAATCTCTCCAAATATGAATTTATGAGTGTAAGCTGGATTCAATTTCAGTTCTCAACACATGCACTAGCTTTATCAACTTAGTTATTTGGCTCTCATGTTACTTTGTTTGTTTAGTTTGTCTGAAATGGAAGTTCTTAACCTTGGCTATGTGATGTAGAACGAAATAATCCTAAATAGGAAGTATTAAGAAGTATCTGTTTCGTTATTATTATTTTTTTTTGAAATAACTGTTTAACTATTATTATTATTTACTATGCTTAACTTATTTAGCTTATTTAAGTAGTTTTAAGTTATTAGAAACTTGGGCAATTTAAGCAGGTTTTTAAGCTATAGAAACTTTTGATTTCCTCTTACTATTTTAATATTTTCCTCATATTTTCTAACTGATGCTTTTATAAAAATCAGTAGCAGTTAAAATTGAAGATAGACAACAAGGAACTAAATTACTTGCTAGGGTTTTGTTCTATGTTATTTCTCTCTCAGTATTTGTTCTTCTGCTTATATATTTTATCTAGCATATCTTGTTCATTCTACTTCTCCTTATATTCCTTCATCTTGATCCTCAAGTTCGTCTGGACTATTTTTATTCTTCTGTTTGTTATCCAAATTTTCTCCATAATTAAACTATCCTCATGACAAGTTAATTTAACCCCTAACTGTTCTCCATCACAATATTTAGAAGAAATTAAGAATTTTTATGGAATTCAGTTGATCAACCATTTGATAAACAGAGTTTTTTTTTTATAAACGATCACTATGAGTTAGATTCAATAAAATTTAATCGATCTTTTCTTTTGATCGATGCTTGGGATTAAGTTATTATTATTTCTTTTTCCGCATTTGTATTAAGTTTATCTATTTTTCTTAATAAATAATTTGTTATAAAAGGATTTTTTTAGTAAACGTATCACAGTTAATTAACTCCTCTTTTTTTGAAGACGAATAAAGAAATTCAATTTTCTCTCCTATTTACTATGATGACGAGTGTTTAAATATATGTCGGTGAAAATTTTCGAGTAATTATTATGTTCTCCAAAGCATACATGATTTGGAAGATGTTGTAAATGTGATTGATTCATTTAAATCCTTTTTCAAGAAATTAGAAAACAAAAAGTTAAACTCTCTGTCTTTTTGAAGTCTTAGACACTGGGTGTCCTTACAAGAACGAAGTGCTAACTCTAATATGGTGGTTGTCAGGGACAGAGTGAAAGAGTTGGAACTAAATCCCACCTCAATTAGGTTTGGAAGTTTTCTTTGTGGATTATGTGAGAGCTAACTTCATGCACTTCCTTATACACTCTTTGTAAATTAGGATGTGCCGCTCTTTCATGATGTTTTAGTTTTGGTAGAAATTTTGAATCCTTGTTGAGATAAAAAGAAGCACTAGGAACAGGATGCTAAGAGGATGCCACCCATGTACAAAAAGCAATCTACAAACACTGAAAATCAAGATACCAATGAGTTTCCCGAGATCATCTCCATCAAGGAAAAGATAACTGCTAAGCAAATCTAATATGGTCTAGAACCAATGATTTCTAATGCTACTAAAAGGAGAGCAAATGCTTGATGAAATTTTATATTCATTTCTTTCCATTAACTTATATTGTGGCCAAATGAATGAGGGAAATCAAATTCTCATCTGAAGCTGAACTGCTGACAGCTTGAGAAAATTTGAAGGAGGCTAAGGACTGAATCTAAAACTTGCTTTAAATTTTTTTGAAAGACCCATTACCTATCTTTAAGGCTTAATGCTGTTAAGAGTAGGATGAATGAAGTTTCAAATCTTCTAGAGGAAATATGCATCTATTTTTCATAGTTCTAGCTTGATGTCAGAATTCCTTAAGAACTATTATAGCTGTAGCCGAACTGAAATAGAATCTTATGGTCATCAGTGCTTGTACCTTTTTAAAGAATAACCTGTGATTTTACTATGTTGTGTGCTTTATACAGGGTATAGCTGAGACCATGGCATATTTGCAAAGAGAAGGTGGTTTGCGTCGTGGAGAGCATAATCTTCTTGGTGAAGCATTTCTTGTTATGGCATCCGCTGCTGGGTAATTACTTGCTTGTGATGTAATTTTGCTTATGGCTACAAAGTGTTAGATTCATTGTTTTTTTGGACTATATTAGATTCGTTGTTTATTCTGACAAGTTCTATGATTTTTTTTCAGAGTTCAACAACAGCATGAAGTTTTGGCTTGGTTACTGGAACCTTTAAGCCAGCAATGGCTGCAACTAGAGTGGCAGAATAATTATTTGTCCGAACCACTAGGTCTGGTTCGTCTCTTTGCTGATACACCTCTCATGTGGTCAATATTCCACACTGTGACATTCTTTGAGAAGGCACTTAAGAGGAGTGGAATCAGAAAAGATAATTTGAATTTACAAAACAGCTCTACAATTTCACATCCAATGGCGTCTCATCTATCTTGGATGCTGCCTCCTCTGTTAAAGGTAATCATGCTGCTCTTGAATGCAAGACCTTGCTTAGTCAAGTTAACTTTCTTCTTAATTCTTTTCTCTATAGGGAACACATGAAAAGCTGTAGAATACAGGGACTATTCTTCTCTGTAAACATAACATCTTAACTGCAGCACTTTCTTGTTGATTTGCAGCTGCTTCGTGCTATACATTCCCTTTGGTCCCCATCAGTATATCAGTCATTGCCTGCGGAGGTTAAAGCAGCAATGTCAATAACTGATGTCGAGCGATTTAGTCTTCTAGGAGAAGGAAATCCTAAGCTGTCAAAGACTGCTTTGACTTTTGCAGATGACACAAGTAATGACGGATATGCAGAACCAAATGAATCTGATATACGGAACTGGTTAAAGGGTATCAGAGACAGTGGGTAAGCATGGGTGCTTTCAGAGGAAATACTGTAACTTACTGGTTAGGAAATCATTAGTACTTTTACCGTTGAGCAGAACAGCTCTTCGTCATCTGCTCTTTGTTAGGACAGTGAAAGTGGAAACATATACTAATTTTGTTTTCTGAAAATTTCAATAATGGTGTTGCATATTTATAGGTACAACGTATTGGGCCTATCAACAACAATTGAGGATGCATTTTTCAAATGTTTGGACGTGAGTTCTGTCACCATATCCCTCATGGAGAATGTACAATCAATGGAATTCAGGCATATAAGGCAGCTTGTTCATTCCATTTTAATTCCTTTGGTTAAATCTTGCCCTCCAGACATGTGGCAGTCGTGGCTGGAAAAGCTCCTATATCCATTATTTATTCATTCTCAGCAAGCAATTACAAGCTCATGGTCCAGTCTTTTGCACAATGGCCGAGCAAGGGTTCCAGATACCTATAACACATTTGGTGGCCCAGATTTAAAAGTGGAAGTCATGGAAGAAAAATTACTTCGGGATTTTACTCGGGAAATCTGTGCTCTCCTTGCGACTATAGCTTCTCCGGGGTTAAATACCGGGCTTCCTTCGTTAGACCAATCTGGTCATATTGGCCGTGTAGACATGTCTTCTCTCAAAGGTTTAGATACATTCAAATCCAGCTCCATGGTTGGGTATGTTGAAAACCGTGCTGCTTCCTTTCCCTGTGATCTTGTAAATGCTTTAATTTGTCATTTTTATTCATCCATAGACTTCAGTATTTTTCATGTAAGCATTCCTTTGCAGTTTCCTTTTGAATCACAAAGGCCTGGCAGTCCCAGTGTTGCAGATGTGTCTGGAAGCTTTCACATGGACAGATGGTGAAGCCACGACAAAAGTTTCCTCTTTCTGTGCTTCTGTTGTTGTTTTAGCCGTATCAACAAATAATTTGGAGCTCCAAGAATTTGTTTCGAAGGATCTATTTTCTGCAGTTATTCGAGGTTTGACTCTCGAATCAAATGCTATTAATAGTGCTGATCTAGTTAGTCTCTGCCGCGAAATATTCATTTACCTCTGTGACAGAGATCCAGCTCCTAGACAGGTTAGTTGTGATACTCATATTATTCTTTACAAAAATTTCTTAAAATATAAAATGGAACAAAATATCATTGAAGTTATGTTTGGAAAAAGCAAAGATTAGTAAAGAATCTTTATTTTCTCTTGGTCAAAATAAATATGAATTTTTCAAGCAGATTCATTTTTTCCAAACATAGCTCGAAAAAAATGCCAAAAGATTTCTAATGCTTGGATATGTTTCTTGGCTCTTTTCAGGTTCTTCTCTCCCTCCCTTGTATTAAACCCAGTGATTTGCATGCTTTTGAGGAAGCTGTGGCAAAAACATCTAGTCCTAAGGAGCAAAAGCAACATATGAAGAGTTTGCTCTTACTCGCTACCGGGAATAACTTAAAGGCACTTACTGCTCAAAAAAGTGTAAATGTTATCACAAACGTTACAGGTAGGCATCATTTTTTTCTTTTCTCGTATTTTCCATATGTCTTCTTTATCGTTAAGCTGCTATATGTAGAAATATGATGTTTCTGTTTTCCATTTTACACCTTTTTCTTGAGGGTAAATTACATGTAAATTCCACGAAATCCCGGACGTTTGAGTGTAATCGTAAGTTTATCTATTATTTTTAAATATAACCTAGTGTCTGCATAATGAAAATAACTGTCAATTTCAGTCCGGTTTCTTAATATATGATAAATAATAGTTAAATATATTTTATTTGTCAATCAATTGATCCTGAAAAAGTAAAAAACCAGCAACGTGGCGAATAATTTTGTTTGGAAATACAAAAAGATAAGGTTTTGAATTTATACTGTGAAGAAAAAGCAACAGTAAGAAGGTGAGAGTGACTAAGAGGTACGCACAGGAACATTGTGCGAGTAAACAATTAAAAACTGGTATTTTTGTTGATAGAGTGACTATATTGTTATTTTTAACCAGTTATAAGTATAACCAGATATCACATATGTAATTTATGATTTCTCAAATCAAGCTATACCTCTAGAAAGGTACTCATGTTCTTTGCCTGTTCTGATATTCCAGCAAGACCTCGCAGCGCAGTCAATGCTTCTGAAAGTAGAGTTGAAGAGGGTGATACCCTTGGATTGGCAGCCATTCTGTGAGGGTTTGTTTGATCTGACGATCAGGTTGGGAGTTGTACAGTGAAGAGATGACTAAAAGATTCAACATTTTTTTGTTAGCGGATAAATGGTTGAAAAAAAGTCGGGTTTTTTTTTTTTTTTTAATTTTTATTAGATATATACAGGTTGAAGAAAGATGCAGCTTTTTGTATTTGCCATACCGGGGTTACCCCAAATGAGAATTCGAACATATATACAGATTTCCATGGCGTTCAGATGATGATCTCCGAGGGTTTAAGCTGGCCATGGAAATGAGGTTTTGTAACAGTGATGTATTATTGCAATGTTGGTTTTGTCGGATTGAAGCTACAATGGCAGTATCTATTGTTGTAATATGCAGTCTGATATGGTACCTGGTTTGCTAAAGATTTGCTGGTGAGGATTCCATCTGATTCAAACTCTTGAAAAGGTTAAAACTCAACCTTTACGTATGGATGGAAGTATGGAAGTAGGCTTGGCCTTTGGTTTAGACTGTCATTACTTATCTTGTATCTTTTTCGAGAGATTAATTGTTTTGAAGTGTGTTTTTTGTATGGTAGACAGAAGATTAAAATATATGTATGTATATACTTTTTATCTCTTTCAAAGAGATCAAATATTCGGAGTGCTTTGATATATATATATATATATATATATATTTATATATGTATATATATATATGTCAAAAGTAACCATCTTTTTTTTTTTTTTTGACCTTTTTTGGGTCTGTTTTTTCTCATTTGACTTTTTACAGCATTAGCCTTTTGTGCTGTTGCATATTGCTAGAAGATTAATTTGAGGTGGCCCGCCTGGCCCACCAAGCTCACCCAATGGGCTCGCCCGGCCCACCAAGCTCACTAAATGGGCCCCTGGCCCACCAAGCTCACCCAATGGGCCTGCCCCGCCCCATCAAGCTCACCCAATGGGCCCGCCTCGCCCACCAAGCTCACCCAATGGGCTCACCTCGCCCACCAAGCTCACGTCAATGGACCCCCCTCGCCCACCAAGCTCACTCAATGGGCCCGCCTCGCCCACCAAGCTCACCCAATGGGCTCGCCTTGCCCACCAAGCTCACGTCCATGGCCCCCTGGCCCACCAAACACCCAATGGGCCGCCGGACCCACAAGCTCGCCCCCAGTGGGCCCACTTGGCTCACCCCAATGGACCGCCCGGCCCACCAAGCTCACCCCAATGGGGCGACCATGATCAGCTACTTGCTGTAAAGGATAAGAAACTCATGGTGCCAAGTGCCACCAGAGTGATGATTTGATTATAAATATTATATATATATATATACACACACACACACACGTAAGTTAAGGGCTCGCTTGGTAAGATTTTTATTTATAATTTCTGTATTGGTTTTTATGCATAGATTTATGATACATTTTATTTTGAATCTCAACTCTCAGATCTTTTGTTCTTTGGTTTTTTTGAAAGGTGTAATTTTAATTTTTAATTTACATAATAAAAACTTGAAGTTTTCTCAGTTTTATTATACATTAAGATTAATAGAAAAGTTAAAAAGACAGTTTAACAGATTTCATACATATTATATATGTGTGTGTAGAATGAGGGAATCATATGCATCAAGATTTCCCCCTCCTCAAATCTCAGAGTCCAAATATAGAACTCAAATTAACCTCTGAACTCATATTTATAACTATGAACTATTAGTAAGAAAAAAAAGAGAAATAAGGTTCTAATTGCAACAAGATCAAATCATAGGGGAGAAAAACTATAATATTTACGAATTAAAAGAAGAAAGAACACCAAAAAAAAAAAACAAGATTTAGCAGCGAAATTGAAGCTTCACGTTTAAAGATCCTTACAAGAATTCAACAGAGATTTCCTCCGGTACCCGCTTTGCGTGCGAGATGATAATCCATTTACATTTAAGATGTCCGGGACAAAACTGTTTCTTCACAACCAAAAATGGAGATGCACAACAATTTGTTGGTCACAATCCTATACTTTTGTATAAAGCACTTTGAGTACTAACCTCAAATTCGATGTACAACTAACTGCCTTCTTTTCTTACTCTTCTTCTTCTTCTTCGTCTTCTTCTTCTTCTTCTTCTTCGTCGTCCTCATCATCCTCTTCCTCCGCCTCCCTCAGCCACTGCAGAAAAACATTAGAAGAAAAAAAAAACCAAGTTGAGAAATGGTATTTTTGAATGATTTATCAAACATAAGTGCCCCTTTGATGTTCTGAAATTAACTAGATCTGCCATGCACACTAAATTTGATTTAATTTATCACCGAAGAAAGATAGAGTAGGGAAGATCATTTGACTAGATGTAGGAAAAGTTCTGTGATGTCTGATAAACAGAATGTCTCCATGTTGGCTTTGTAACATTTTATCATATTCAGTAACTTTATTTTCTTTTTTGAGATGACATATTCAGTAACTTACTGTAATAATCATTTCATACTGTCGTAAGTGAATTACTACACAATGTTAAGTTAGTTACGGAACTACTACAAAATATTAAAACAGGTACACAGTAGAAATCTCTAACTGGATATCCCAAAAGAATCGACGTTTCATGATTAGATATAGCATTGAAACACGGTTTGTAAATGGAAACAGTACACAGTTCATTGCTTACCTGGACGAATTTTTCCGATTGCCTAAGAAAAACTTTATCTGATTCGTCTGCACCTTCTTTTTCATCCACCCATCTTAAAATAGCATCTTCTTCTAAAATTTCTTGATCATACAGAAAATGCAATATCTGCAATTAAGACAACAATAATTAAACAAGAGGATCTAATTAATCAACCCCTGTAAATTTTGAGTTGTCAAATTACAAAAGAAAATAAAAGTAAATCATCAGATTTTATGTTATGGTATATACCTTTCCACCAATAATAGTATAGCACCACATTATTAATATGTTATAACCAGTTTTTTCAAATGTACAAACTAGTAAAAAGGTGCACATGCGATATTGCAAGTGAACCAAATAGGAGCTACCAGAATTGTGCGAGGACCACACAGAACCAAGTTATAGAAATAGAAGAAATATGCAGGAATGGCTCAGAAACCAAGATCTCAAACACTCAATCCGTGCCGATGGTGTCCTGCCAGTTTTGACAGGAGCTTAAGAACAAAATGACCCAATCAATTGTTATTACTGTAACAAATCTAATATTCGTATAGAGCCAAGAAATCACGGGATGTCACCTGAACTTTTACATTGAAATTGGTGAAAAAGCATTTTCTGTCAAATGAAATGTCGACATAGCCGTGTCCTTAAACCCATGAAAGTAGCATACCTGAACGAACATTGGGGCAAACTCCCTAGCAGATTCAAGACACATTTCTTCAAATTTCATGATCACTTCAATCTGTCAGAACAATTATAGAAAGTTATCGGAAGTGGAACCAGAGAAAGCTATCCAAATGCTTCAGAATGCGATGTTTCTTGAAATTGGTGGCTTCAAATTTTAAGCACAACCACAATGAATAGTCAAGATAGCAACACCAACCTGCTCGTCAATTTGTTTTACATATGACTTGAGGAGTTCCTTCCACGTTCTAATTACATCAGTAGCATTTTTTTTCAAGTCACCTGAAAGGTAGATTGAGTAAACATCAGTCACAACTACATAAGAAAAACAGAACGGAACAGTCCCAACAAAATATAAGAGGATGAGCAGGGTGTAATTACGGAAAAAAAAAAAAAAAGATATGTCCGGGAGTGAATGAAACCAATTACGAGTTTCATCACCAAGCAGATACAGATTTTTTTTAAGATAAGGCAAGATATAGATTTACTTCTTTAGTTCATCAGAAAATAAAAAACATGTGAGTACAGGGAATAAGTTTCATCACCATCAATTAATTATGATAGTCAAATACAAACCAGCTGAACTATGCGGAATTTCTAATGCCCATTTCATCATCGAATAAAATACTGCTCCAGCACAGTCAGCAGATTCCATGTTGTATGACAACCTAATGTATGGAACAGGCACAAAAAGGAAAAGGCAACTGAGCATCAGAAACATAAAATGAAGACATCCTATGTATATTACAGAATAAAATAAATAAATCAGTAAAAATGATAAGGATCTTCATATAGAGATCGCATAAAGGAGGCTTTATCCAACTAAGGAGCACATATCTTATTTATTACAACTAAGACTTCAATAATCCTTTTATGGAGAAAAGAGCAAGAGAGAAGCAATAGCAGTACTGGGTAAAGCAACTGCTGTAATATCCAGAATTAATTTTAAAAATTAAAAATTAATATATAAAATATAATTTTTAAATTTATTAATTTTTATTTAATGTAAAAATTAGGAAAAAATAGGTGGAGAATGAAATTGAAAATAATTTTGGAAAAGAAATGTGAAAATTTGGATTCTGTAAATATTTTTGAAAGAAAAATCGAAAACTGAGAATCAAAATGCAATTTAAGAAAAATATGCCATGTAGAACCGCCCAGTCAACAGTTCCATGAATCGGAGCGCGCCACGTGGCAAGGCATGCTGACGCAGTGCCACGCGGAAGACCACGCTAGCGATCCGCGTGCTCGCGATCGGACGGTCTAAATTTATTTCCGCACACGAGAACAGTTCGGATCCGTTCCCTCTTCAGGTGCGATCGGACGGTTGCGATCAAACGCGATGAACAGTTTAGATTCATTTTCTCTTTAAACGCGATCGTATGGTCCAAATCAAATCGCGATGAACAGTCTAAATTCATTTCCTCATTAAACGCAATCGGACAGTTGAAATCAAATGCGATGGACGGCCCATATTAAAAGGAAACGGATATAAATATCTCACTTTACACCAAACTCTAACCCTATCTGCCAGCCCCCCCGCTGGAGAAGAAGAACCAGTCGCCAAGAAGGGAGCCGCCTCCCGCTGCACCGAAGCCACCTCTGACAGCCAAAAAAAATAAAAATTCTCCCAGTCACTCGAAATTTAATTTTGAACACCCCCATAGCCAAATCGAAGCCAAATAACCAGCGAATGGGCCGGAGACCGCGGGTAAACCCCGGCGGCTGCGCCGTGGGAAAAACTAAAATCCACCTCCGATAAGCCCATTCCCGATTCTCATTTCGTGCAATTTTTCCACCATTATATTCACCGTTCTGTTTTCTACAGGTTGACCGAAGAAAAACACCCAACCGCAAATGTGAGCTGGCGGAGCTGCTGCACCGGAAAATCCCGCCGCTGATGAATTTTTATTTTTTGACTTTTTTCGACCAATGTAGACCCCTTAACGTGTTTTCTCACAGAGATGAGTATAAAACCGACCGAAATTGGCCAAAACTGGCCGAAAACAGCCAGCCTGAGGCAAACCACCGCCGTGCAAGAATTCCGAAATTGGCCGGAAAGGGTTCCTAACACTGATGTGGGATTTAATGGGGTATTTTTAGGTACTTGAAACGTGTTTTAACCTCCGAATGAAAATTTAGGAAATCTGGGGACCGTCAGTAAGCGCAGTTAAAAATTTAGTGTTTCGAACATCAATTCGAGTAAGAATCCCCCACCTCATTTTCCTGTAATGGAATTGAAATTTAATTATAAATAATACGATATTTTACATAATTTAGAAAATATCCATAATTAATTACAGATTACTAATGAAGTCGGAACCGGTTATTTATTACTGTTCGTCATGTTTTAACTAATTGTTTGATTCTACAGTTTCAAATGCATGATAATACACTGGAATTGGTAAGATGATTCGGTTGTACTTTCTTGATGCATGCATTGCTTGTTTTGCGTGATTACAGTTAAATTGTGAATCTGAAAATTAAGTGTAAACAGGAAATTGCTTAATTAAGTGAATAGATAAATGGTAGCGTTACTGGATATCCTGAAAGATAGTGGACGGATCGGGTACATAGGGAACCCTACCGTGAATGTTGGCTCATACCGGACAGGGTATCGAGCACTGGTATTTTGGCGTTCATACCGGACGAGGTATAAGGACGGTCTATTTCACCCTCATACCGAACGGGATATTAAGAGATGGTATTTTTTGGTGCTCATATTGAACGGGGTATAGAGACGGCCGATCAATGAAAAATATTGAATAAAGGTTCACGCATAGTGAGAACATCCCTATGGATCCTCATGGATACCAGTAGGTAGATAAAAGAGAAAGTTGTTGCTTCGAATGTTTGACTATGAGATTATGATATTGGTTATGTTATTGCTTGTATAGGTCGATTTTTGAAAATCTCGTTACGGTAAGTACGCGATAAATTATTTTATTTATGATAAATGAATTTACTTAAATTAAGAATTATATTAGTTGTTTTTATAATTTTTACCAACCTTTATTTCTGTATCGGTGAGTAGTGTGACATTCTTACTGTACTAGTGTAACTCAATCTTTCATTAACAATTTTATATCAAAAGAACTAAAATCCTGATCCCGATCCACAAGAGAATTGTGAATAGAATGTTCAGTTGTTTAGTTTCCATTTATTTTTTTAATTTTTCGTTTATTCTTTTAGAATGGTTATTCCCGTATTCTTATTGGGTATTTTAAATTATTGTGTAAGAAATGTGACTCCTAACTTTATTATTTCGCTTCCCCATTCAATGTATAATTTATCTCTTTTTAAGTTTCGGGTCATTACAACTGCAGATTCAAAATAATCTAAACAACTGCCCCGATCACAACATGCAACCACCCTTGCTAGAAACATTTATACAATTATTTGCCAATGCTACAAAATTTCCATACCATATCTCAAAAGAGACCAGTCAGATATTATCACTTCTCTTAATAGGGTGGCCACGTTTAAGTCACATGCATTTGCCGCCATATGACACAAAACTTCAGGAACACTAAAAAGAAAAGATAGTCAAACAATTGGAAGTAAAAGAACTATCCAAAGGAGAAAATAACCATTTAAGATTTTATTTTGGATATTATTGATTTCCTTCAAGTCAGATGCAGACCTCATTGTTCGCCTTTGATTTTATTTACCAGTACCCATGCCCGGCAAAGCCTGTTAAACCCCTGCAAAGACAGCCCTTCCAGAAACCAGAATGGTATGGTACAGCCATCCTTTGTTAACAAGCCCAAAACTTGGATCAAGTTTCAAAAGAGGCCCTTAAGGTATAGTAACCACAGGAATAAGACAACAAAGTCAATTCTTGACCTGTCCCTTTCACGAACTCTGCATAGATGAGGGAGTAACTACAATGCTAAGACCCACCTTGCCCAAACTGGTGGGGCCAACTGCATGCAACTAGCGTTGAGGTAGGTTAGATTACTCGGTAACCCATCCTTTTTGCCATCCAGACCTCATAATGGATTGAGAACAAAGTCAAAGTTCATTCTGTTCTAGAACAACTGCCAACCAACAGCTAAAGACCTTCTGGAACAAGAAACTAAAGCAGAATCCCACTACTATTTTCCTTTTTTTTTGGAAATAAAAAGAATTCTACTACTATTGTACTAGTTTATAGTAGGAACCCTCAATAAATATGCAAATGTGAATAGACCTAAATAGCAAAATGCATTCACATTCAGAACCTGACTTTACATACTGTTAAACGCAAATTCATAACAGGGTACTCTTTTGACAGCACAAGAAGAGTATTACAAACAAGGCATCAAGGGGGAGGCACAATTGTAAGTAGGAGAATCCACAACTAGGTACTGAAATAAATGGCTTATTAGATGTTACTATTTTTCAAATAGGACATAAAATTGAAACACCAACTGATGTCAAAGTCTAGAAGACAAAAATAGTATTGGAAACAGAAATGAATTTTGTGGATGACCCATAAAATCCTAAAACTCTTTAAAAGCACAACAAAAACTGGTGGATCTGACTATTTAAGAGAAGATTGTAGGACATACCGCAAAGAATTTACTTCTAGGATTACATGATCTACTTTGACGTTTTCATCAACAGCCCTTAAAAAGGTTGCTTCAACCTGCAAACCATAAAGGAAAAACATAAACACGTTATCCAATTCATTTCACCAATATTCAAGCTGAGGTATCACTAACTTCTTTCTCAAAGTAGCTGTAGTCATCTCTCAAGTCTTCATTATCAACATCATCAGAATCAGAATTAGACTTCAACTCTTCCAAGTGCGAAAGAGCATTGCCATCTTTAGTTAATAATTCCTGGTCGTCATCTGTAGCTTGAGTAATCTCAGCAAGTTTATCTTCAGGGATAGGGGCAACTGAATGCCTCCATTTATCTTCATGTCCACTTTCACAAACTGACCAAATGTGACCAACACCACCGACACCAAGCTGGCAAACCACCCAAAAAAATTGACAATAGAACTCAGAGAAGGTTCATTTCCACCACTAAAAAAGACAAATTATGGAGCCCCTATACTATATTGGACTGGAAACTGCTAACCATAGGCCTCATTCAAAATTCTTATGACTTATCCCACAATGCTGCCATGCATCAACCTTTTTACAATGAGCATTTCATATTTTCCCACAAAACGTTCTACATGCCTTTGGTGATGGCTAATCCCACAATTCAAACCAGCCCCAGGCCCAGAAAATCTACTAATTGTGCATGCCTCCGGTCATGTGCCAAATATTTTGATCAACCAATGTTACAAGTAAAGCAAGAGAGGAAAAGTCTAGTGATTGAATATCATATACTCAGTTCAGAAATAATTAATCCTGCAACTATATCATTTTGAAGTTCGTTTGATGTCTGGTATGCGTTTTTAATTATATCAGATGCCATAGTTTTGACGAATGCTAAATATCTAACCAAATGACACCCAAATGCTTTTAGAAGAGTAGCACATAGGTCATAGATCCATGTCCAAAACATAATTGAACAGGCACACAATCGATAACACTCTTGAGTAAGATATAAAGAGAAATCAAATAGCCAACCTCAGATGTAGAATCGAATTGTGTCTCAGATGCATCAGGATGTCATTTCGGCATTCAACTTATCCCCTGTATCTGATATTTGATCTCCAATAAAGAAACATGGGAATTGGATTTTTTTTCTTTAAGAAAATGCAGTTAAGCTGTAACCAAAAAGTTATATTATGCACATGTACAAAGGATTACAGATTCTACAAGACAATAAATTTAATTAACATAGCAAACCAAGCAGATTTTATTTTTTCATTTTTTTCACCCTGGAGCTTGGTTAGGAGCAACGAGAAGTCTATAGCTTTTCAGTTCCAAGGTTGAGTTTCTCATGGGGAAAAGAAGTTGCATTTTGGTTCCTCAAAAATTAATAAATATAACTCGGTTCTTTGGTGCTAACTTTAAAGTACTACGTCACTAGAACTCAATAAAACATAACATATTCAGAACCCAGGGAGAGTAGACACATTGACATGCTTCAACAGAAAAACACATCACCGCATCCATAATCACAATTTTCTGTGTATATTAAGTGCAAGGGCTACCACCACGAAACCAGGAACAAGAAGAAGCAATTAGGATATTCGTCGTTCAAGCTGTGCTATTTCCGCAGGAAAGAGTGGGCCCGGGGGAAGAAGAGGAGAGTGGGGGAGGCAAGGGCATAGAATGAGAAAGCGAGTGAGAGAGGGAGAGAGAGAGAGAGAGAGAGAGAGAGAGAGAGAGAGAGAGAGAGAGAAGAGAGAGAGAGAAAGACAGAAAGAGAGAGAGAGAGAGAGAGAGACAGAGACAGAGACAGAGAGACAGAGAGATTGATTTGCAATAATTGAAAGCGGAGCTAGTATTTCTTCACAAAACAGCATAGTAGCAACCATGGATAGGATCACCAATTTAAAGATCATGGATACATTAAAATGACAAAAAATAAATAAATCACTGCAGTCTATTCGTATGAGAATTTATCATTATCTTATTATTAGCACCACTCCACATAAACTAGTCAACCACACATGTAGCAGAACACACACGGAGAGTAAATCAGAGCCATTAGAATTTACTTGAGAGTTCAGTTTCAGTGCTATTGTCTGCATATTCCAGTTCTTCGTCACTATCTTGCTTGGTTGGTTGTTTAAGCAACGAAACTTTTGAGTACGCAGGAACAACAAATTTTTGTCCAATTATAACCTGGAGAAAATACAAATTCCAATGAATGAATCAAGAAAGGCCCATAATCTTCAGCTTCAAATCATGCAATTAGTAAATGGTAACAACTAATTGATAAGAATAGAAGGACATTTTAGAATGCAAATACAAGTGATGCCAACCACAGAGAAAAGTGGTTCATAAGTAAACAACTCTCTAGGAGACTGGAAAAAAGCACTAGGAGATTGCACCAAAGACTTATACAAGAAACAGGTATCATTTTTGTGGTTTCATAAGTTCACAGACAGGTATCTTCAGCTAGATAACTCCACCTTCCTTCTAGGTGTCCTGTTGGAAACCTACACAATCTAATGCAGAAATCTTATTATCCTGCTCACATTTTAATTCTCCCACTGGTTCTTTTGTTTACTAGTGCAACTTCATGATTGATTTTGTGAAGTCATCTTTTACACAACTGAAATATGCTAAAACCAAGTGCATTTTGCAAAACCAAAAGATAAATAATTACAGTCATAAGTTCAGGTTAGATTCTCTTTTGTTTGCTTTTGAGGGAAAAAGGAATATTATTAAGGAGAAGAATAGAAAGCTTGAGTTCCACACCTCAATGAAGCAGACCAATAATTTTTGGATGATTTTCCTACAACCTAAAATTCACTCACTTCTCATTTCCATGAATAAATCACAAATCGGAATTTTAAAATTTATAAAGCTATTGGCAGTTCAACACTATCATTTTACAAAACCTACAAAGTCATTCTAACAGGTACTTTTCCTTCAATCAATCAAGTCTAACAAGATCCTGGCAGAACAAGGTGTGCACAAAATTTGCAAGTGTATTCTTGGAACCATTAAAAAGAAAAAAAATAACAGATGAATTGAAAGCCCATGGATGCATACCTTGAAAGATAAAACAACACCTGGTTTCAAAACTGCTCCTGCTTTTATCGTCACCCCATCACACACTATTGCATGCCGTATATCACAGCCATCTTCAATGGTGACATTATCCCATATATATGAACCTTCTATTAAAACATTTGATCCAATAGCACACCCTTCCCCAATAACTGAATTAATAATTTCGGTGTTATTTCCAATTTTAGTGCCATAACCAACCACAGTAAAAGGACCAACTAGCGCGGATCGTGATTGTGTTATTCCTGAAACAAGATAAGATAGCTCTCGCAGTAAATACAAATTATTAGAGAAAAGTACGGCAAACACATGCCAGAAGAAGTGAAGCCTACTCCAAAAATGAGTATGTAGCTAGCAAGTAAAATGTGCTGAAAATGATTATCATTGAAGAACCAGTACATAATATGGGTGAGAAAAGATAGTAGTGATACTACCCAGTACTCTGGTTCACATTATTATGTTTCGTAAGAACAAACATACCATACTGAAGAATTCTGTGCTTCAATTAGTATGAAGCATAGCAAACAGGGAGTGTATCAAGAACTAAAGGAGATAAAGATAAACAGACATAAAGATTCATTTTGTAGAAAAATAGATTCATTTGTTAAATGCATATTCCGCTCTTTTTTTATTGAGAGAAAGAAAGCATACTCCACACAAATGAAGATGAAATTAAAAACTGGTATAAGCAACCCCAGATTAGAAGCTTATTTACATAATATGCTCTAGTATCTCCCTTTCGAATGCATATTCCACATTACAGAATCTGGAACTATATACCACAAGTAATAGTGAGCATAAAAAAAACTTCCTTATTTTTGAAAGCACAAAAAGTTGTAAAACATTTTCATGGAATTAAAGCAATTTCAAGGAGAATCTTGGCTTCATGGTCATTGTGTGTCTCTGTTACTTTAACCAAATATATTTTATAATTCATTAAGTTGGGATAATTGTAACATAGAAAACTAAACAAGAGAAGTATAAAAGGATGTTTCAAGAACAAAAGACAAGAGAGAGTGAAAAAGACAATATAACTAAAAATAAAAAGTTTTAGCACCTAGTCGAGCTAGAAAGGGTCTAGCAAAAACAATTAAAAAAACTAAATTTCTTCTGGCAACAACAGTTGAATATCCAACAATAAGCTGGTCATCATTTATACCATAACTTAAGCTAATATTTATCTTTAAGTAAAAACTTAATAGACGAGTAACCACTCCATATCGTGTGCATAAGATTATTTTTGTTTGTACAAAGATTTCCATAATATATTTCACGAAATAAGAGGAAATCCATCTGAAAATTGCCACTTTAGGGTTTAGATAAAAGGTATACTGCAAAATGCACTTATTCATTCTTGTGTCTCACTGATACCTCTCCATTCCCTGTGGCATGCTCTTTTCGAAATACCAAAAAATTCTGCAATAAAATTATGGGTGATTCTATACATAAAGAATATTGATGACTCTACGGTTGAACTTCTCAGAAGAAGAAGAAAGTCTTCAATTAACTAAATCAGCTTCTTGCAAGAAACTGCTTCATGAAATGAAATACACAAGTATTAAATATATAAGTATTAAGGAGGGAAAACCCCTATAAAGGGGGGCTATATTTGATGAATTGTGGACAATCCGGTTGGAGAGAAATCGAAGAACTTTTTGTGAGTATTTTTCTCCTCATGAATTTTGGGATCAGACACTATTTCAAGCATCTCTTTGGCCAAGGGCACGCAGTCAATTCATGGATATGGCTCTTTCCAATCTACATCGGAACTGGAGAGCAATCATCAACAGTCCCTACCAGGATTGTGTTTAATTTTATTTTCATGCACAACTTTTATGTCGTCCTTTCTATTTGAAAGATTGAGGCGGATGTCTTATTCTCCACCTTTTCATTTTTTATTTCTTTCTAGTGAAGTTTCTTTTCTTATAAAAAGATTTGAATACTTTCTCAATCAATACCAGCACCTATTTGGCACAACAGTACAAGTCCCCTTATTGGGGCCCTCTATGCTCAGGTTCAAGTATTGTAAATTAGAAACACCCATCTGGGCTAACCATAATAAATATATAAAAATAATAAATACATTACCTGATGCTCGATACATTCCCTGTCTCTCAAGCTTACTTGCACGATTTCCACAAAAATTTATATCTGGGACATATGGATATGTCCACCTCTGAATTATGTCCTTGCTAATGGTATCATAGCTTCGAAAATTATCTATCCTAGCCGCATAACTTGAGTGAATTTCATGAGTGAAAATTTTGTAACCCATAATCTGCAAGCACAAACAGCAAACTATATACAATCTGAAATAACGAATGTCGGCATTACAAGAAAACATGTTCTCAAGGACATATAAAATATTCAACATAAACATGACAGCATCAAAAACTGAAATTATATCTAGCTCAATTAACAATTTAAAATCTCCAACAAACATCACAAATACCAGCGATGGTATAATATATGTTCTAATGGGATAAAACTTCCATTGAGTACCAGATCTTTACAAAAAAGAATTGCTGAAAATGTCCAGAACATCTCCCGGATCAAATGCCTATATGTTGTAAATCTGTTACGGTAACTTGTTTTGCCTATATGTTGTAAATCTGTTACGGTACCTTGTTTTATTCAAAACAAGTAACAATGTAGTAAGTGAACGACCACTGTAAGTAACATGTGATGATTTATTTCAGCTGTAAAAGAAACTAATAGTTTTTCACAATCACCATCTGGAGTTCTTTAGAACTCACTTTAAGATGCGAGAGAAACAAGAAACAAACAAATTGCAAAAGTTTTTTACATAATGAAGAAATATTTCATGGTAGTTAAATGTCTACATGGACAAAAATAAGGACCTTTCTTCCATGTTGTACACATGAACTCCAGACATGAGTCCACTTTCATAAAAGCCCCTAAATCTCTCACATTTCCCTATCTTAGTCCTTCCTTTCCAGCAGGTGGAGAGGGAAGTATCAAAATGTTTTATGCCTGTGCATATGCAAATCATTTTGTATGATAGAAACCATTCACCATAGTACTGTAAAGTAACATAGAAGAAAGAACTATAATGAGCAACACACACATCATCGACGAGCAATCCCTTAACAAAATGGCGGCGCAGGTGTTGGTAGTCAAAATTGTCAGTGAAAAGGCTGAGGACCTCTGGAGAACAGATGTCAATATAGCAATCCTGCCAAAAGAAAATAAAAAAGGCAACAAATAATTACATGAAACATCCGCAAATAATCCCTGAACGAATGTCCAAAGTAAATGCTCAATATGGTATTAGTCCAGAAAGTCAAAACAAATTTATTAGCCATCAAAGATGACGGCACAGGTAACAGATATTGTAAAGTCCTACATAAGTTGCACCATGGTTAAGTTTAAAAAGAGTTAAAATTGCTAAGTCAGAAATTGTATCCTTATTTCACAACAAGAAGTTAAAAAAGGTTAAATGTCAGTGGTATGCATGGTTTTCAAGCTGGTGTGAAAGAACCATAGAAGAACAATTTAAGCACTTATAGAGGGGAAGTAAAAAATATGCTGGAGAAATTAGGAAAAGAAAAAAGAAAAACACCTTTTCTTTTTGAAATAAAGAACAAAGGAAAACACCTGCTTGTCATTGTGCACAGAAATAGATGGATTATCAAATAGCATTGCTTTATCAAGCGACACAGTCCCTTTTGAATGATCTGTCTTATCCTCGTAATATAAAAGCTGCTTTGAACTAGGATCTATTGCCATAAACAGCTCATCAGTACCAAGTCGAGACTGGTGAGTGATTGGAGAAGGCTTTGACTGTTTGATGACCATGGTCATTACAGCATTTGTATCCTTTTTCCGTCTCTCCTTGTGTTCATGAAGCACCCGGGTAAGTGACATATTGCTTACTGTATCTCCACTAATAAGAACAAAATCTCCATGTATCTAAAAATCAAAATAGAAGATTTCAGATTCTACAGTATGAAACAAGTTGCTAAATAAAATAGTACGAAAAATTTTATTTATATTTATGTTCAAGAAAAAGATAAACATCAAAAAGCACCAAGGGGTTCCTACCCATATGCATTACTGCTCTATGTGTTTCATCAGAAAGAAGGGAGCAATCACTAATCTTAAGATACTAAGAACATAGACTGTAATGCCATTAAGCAAGTTCGATTTCTGGTATTCAACTCCCTTTCTTCATAGTATACATTAAAATTCCATGGAAATTACACATACACAAGTTTTTTTTTTTTTTAAATAAAAAGTATAGTATATATTGACAAGGTACCAAAAAAAAAAAGAGTACCACTCATTTACAAAAGATTTACAATCATGTTAGCATGTCAATGACATTCCCAAAATCAACATCACTAATAATGTTATAACTAATTACAATAGACCCAAAATAATGAAGCCACCTTTCTTTTATGCTAGAAATACTACTCTCAACACTATCAAAAGTTCTACTATTTCTTTCCTTCCAAATGATCCAGAACACAGTCAAAAATATCAAGTTAGCAATCTTATTTTTTACATATAAACCATCCCATGCCCAGATTTCACTCTCCACAGACCCAGCCGTAACCCACTCCACACCCAGCAGGCCAAAAACGAAGCTCCAAAGGCTGTGAGCAATCGGACACCACAGAAGAAGATGGTTACATGTTTCCTCAGCATTTAACCAGCAATAACAACCATTAATGAGAATCCTTCCTCTACATATACCGAAGTTCTATTTATTCTAAACAAACATTTTCAAGGAGTTGTAATTGGCATAAAGCTATCCCTGCTGCTAGAAGAGTTAATTGTCAAGCCCAAGCCAAAAATTCTGTAATTTAACAAGCTATATATAGCCTCAGCAACCAAAGACCTTAGATCACAAGCATGAACCCGCTTTAACAAGTAAAATCTACTCTTTTCCTAACAAGTAAGATTTACTCTTTCACTATACTTGAAAAAATTTTACTAAAAAACCAAATTGGAGTTCCCGAATCTCAATAATTAAATTAATACTCAACGTTTGTATAATAATTATGAATAGCTTTGCGACCATATCTGGTCAAAAATGATTCATTGGAGAACAAGTTCTTTTTCCAACAAATTTGGAAAGGGAAGGGTCCTCCAAGAATAGCTTTCTTCGCTTGAGAAGCAGGGCTTCGGTGCTTTCTTGACCATTGAATAAGTTGATCAGAAAGGCAAAGATTTTGGGGAACGGTTGCAACCATATTTTACCACAGTGTCCCCTAGTGCATATTTTATGGAGTATGGCATATGGATTGTTACAAATTAGCGGGGTAATGACAGTCAATGTAAAGGAGGAAATATGAAAATGGAAATGTGTTAGTGGTCGAAAAAAACATTTGGGTCTCATTCCCCTCGCAATCTTTTGGGTGATGTGGAAAGAAAGAAATAAAAGAGCTTTTAAAGTGGTGGAAGAGGATTTGATAGGGTTAGAGCTAGGTGGTTTCAAACCATGGAACTTTTAGTCATGGGTCACCTTTTATACTTTATGGTAGGAAACCCTACCGATATCCTAGTTGACATGTAAATTTATTTTGTATATAAGTTGGCACCCCCTCTTGGTGGTTGTAATAAAAGATACATACTATACTTTTTACTTCAAAAAAATTTATGAATAGTTCACCAAATGACAAAGCTAGAGTGCTCTATTTAAAGGTACTAGATTACAACAAAAATAGTAATTCTTAAGTCTATTTAGGAATTTAGTAACTATGAAAATAAGCTAATAAATCGGAATAACCTGTAATAGAGAATAACTAAATAAAAACATAACCGAAAAAATAACAAACTTATAGATACTAGTTCTAAATAAGCTAAATACTTAACTAATATATTAACATTGCAATCACATAAATATATCTTATTGTGGAAATATGTCCACTTTAGGATCTTCATGTTCTGCATCAAGAAGTCTTTCAATACATAGTGCTTTGGTTATTTTTTTAGTTAAATGAATATCAGTCATAAAATACAGAAACAAAGACAGTAGAATGATAAACGTACCACATGGCGCTCATAAATCAATCGCAAAGCATCTCCAGCACTAACAGAATTGTGTGACTCTATTGTAGTTACAGAAAAGTTTGGCTGGGAATACCATTCAGAATTCTCCAAATAATCAATCACTTGCCTCGAATGAGCACAACAGAAAACAAAAACTTCTTCAACACCAGCAGACTCAAGCCATGCCAATGTGTAATTTATCATGGGAACATTAACCAATGGCAGTAGTACCTTCAACATCAAAAGAAATCAATCGGTAAACCCTGAGAATCAGCATCTAGATATCAGTAAAAGACAACAAATTCTTAAGTTTTATAGTTCCCATTCACAAAAACAGAGAAAATCTCTCTCACAGGGAAGTTGACAGCAAATAATTCTAGTAGTTATCATTCATGATAATAAACCCTGTCCTCAAATACACTCATGACAAACAAGTAAATAAAAAATATAAGTATTTACGTTAATCAAAAAAATAACCAACCTTAGATGTCTTTAAGTACCAACGAATAATCAATTCTAAATATTTCCATAGTAGCCGACAACATAGTCGATGCTAACATTTTAAAGAATTTCTTTACAAATATGATGCTTTACAAGAGGAATACTCCTTTACCCTAAGAATCAGCATCTAAACGTCAACAAGAGAATTCTAAAGTTCTATTCCCATTCACAAAAACAAAGAAAAGTTCTCTCCTAGCAAACTTGACTGCAAGTAATCCCAATATTTATGACTCATGACAATAAACCTCTCCTCAAATACACTTCATGACAAACAAGCAAATAAAAAATACAAGTATTCACACTAATCGATAAAGTAACCGAGTCCAAATGTCTTTACAGTAACCGATAAAAAAATCAATTCTAAATATCTTCCCAGCAGCCCACAAAATAATCAATTCTAAACATTTTAGACAATTTCTTTACAATTTGATGCTCCAACACAGGGTCACAAGAGGAATACTCTGTTACACTAAAGATTGGTGATCTCTTTTCAGAGGGCTGGTAGAGAGCATTCATCATTCAGAAAAAAAAATCATAATTCAACACCATCAATAGATCCCTTCGAATATTATATTTATGTATGTCACCAAGCTGAAAATTTCTGTGCATAAATCTGAAGGAATTAACCCAAGTGGCAGCACTTGAGTTCTGAAATTGACTAAAACTCAATCATATAAATATGGACCGCTCAAATCATATGATGGAGAATAGATATGGAACTAGATCTTCTAAATCAGATTATGAATTGTAGCTAATCTACAAATTACTGTAATATTATGGCTAAGATTAGGACTTTAGTATTAAGGCTTTATTTTATTTAGGAATTCGATTACTTGGAATTTAACATATGTTTCCTTAGTAGTGGTATCTTCTAATTAGTATTTCTTTGCACAATCCTATTTGGGAAAGATTACGTAGGAATCACCATAAATACCTCGATAGTCTCACTTTTGAAAAAATCAAATTATTCAATAAAGAGATCTTTGAGACTTTTATCAACTTTTCATGTTATGTGATTCAATCAAACTCTTATTTGTAATGCTTAAAATTTTTTAGGCGTAATCTCTAGGCTTCACCCTCAAATCCTTAAGTAGACAAAGTAGTCCCAGTTTACCTTACATCATATAATACAACCAAATCAAATTCTTCAAAACACTATACATGAAATTCTACCTCTAGCATCTAATTTCATACTTCAGGTCCCCATTCCAGATGAACTGAAAAGATATTTCTTTTCCATTTCCTCGCAAGTAAATTTCCAAGTCTATTGAAGACCACAACAATTCACAAATTCCTTCTCATGAACACCACAAGCGGAATATTTGGTTAACCTCCCAATTAAAAAATCCATTTCTAACCTTTTCATAGTAATAGAAAACATGTCCTACCAAACCAATACTAACTTGTTACCCTCTTGCCCAGCAGGCAAAGATTTACCTCCACAGAGTTTCATAATTCAACAAAACAGTCAGTTTCATTAACGCTTGAGAATCCGCATAATGCACATTACACACTTTTTGCACATAAACGCAAAGCAATTAGAAAACATCCAAGGACAACAAATTTGAGGGCTCTAATTCCGGAATACAAATATCTCTAATTCATGAACACCAGAAATTCACTAACTTATTACCTAACGAACCATGTACACATTTGCTTATATTCATACACATATTCGCGCGCACAAATATTCCTACCTTGGGGCGCTCAAGGGTGGTGGGACGAAACGTTGTGGCGAAGCTATCCGCCAATAGAACAGCTTGCAATGGATGACGTGCGAGATCGTCCGCGTCCTCCGAAACCCTAGGTGCACCCTTCTTCTGTGCACCCATTTTCCTTCTTCCTTCTCCTTGTTGCCCCTCTCTGTTCAAAGTAAATGCAGCAATTTATGCAATCTTAGTGAAGAGTGAAACAGAGAAATAATGGAAAAAGAATTGGATTAGTTAAGGGAAAGGTGATGAGAGAATTTTCAAAAACCCTACTTCCCCAAATCAAAAACCCCCTCCCCCCCTCCCTGCAAGAACGAAGACAAACTGACTGTTGTCGGATTTTGCGTTCGAGGGTTTTGATTGTCTGCGGTCGTGTCTTCGTTTGGTTTTGTACTTTCCAATATCAACTTCGTATATATGTATATATATGTGTATATATATATATAAATGTATGTATTAATGTCCATGAAAATATACACGTGAATAAAATGTATGGGGTGTGTGTATTCAGTGCACATATATGTTTACATGTATATACACCATTATTAACATCTAAAAGCAAAAAAAAATATATATCTATATATATCATCATCGTTATATACATGTCAAAATATTAATTTGATATCTATATTATTTTAAAATATTTAAATTAATTTTTATATTTTTTATAATTTTAATAAATATATTTTAAAAAAATTATTAATTTAATCGTTAATTATTATGCATATTAATAACGTTAATAAAAATACCGTGCGTATTCAAATTAAACACGTGTCACGTTTTGATTTGATTAATATTTAATAAAGTATGATTAAAATAATAAAAAAATTGAAAATATTTTTACATAAATTTATATTTAAATTAATTTTTTAAAAAAATAATATATCATTATCTAAAAATTAAATTTACTAAAAAATAAATTTTCACTAATTACATAATTTATAAAATATAAATATAAATTTAATTTAATTAAAAAATAAATTTTTTTAAATTTAAATTAAAAAATAAAATAATTCTAATTTTTATATTAATCCTCTTTAAAATTATTTGACCACAAATTTAGTAATAAAGATGGATGTAGCAATTTTTTTTAAAAAAAAAAAGACATGACAACGTGGGTGTATATAAATAGGTGTATGTATATAAATATATGTATAACTAATACCAAACACGTGCTCTTTAGCCAAAAAAAAAAAAACATTGTTTCTTCACGTTTGGGATATCCCTTCTTTTATTCATGTTAGATCATAATTTTAAATAATTGTGGCTAACATGATTAGTTTAAAGTAATCTGATAAAGTTAAGGGTATTTTAGACTTAAAAGCATTAAATTAAGTATGAGTTTTTATGCGTAAATATCAGATATTTTATTTCTAATTTTATGATATGTCAAATTACGAATAATAAAAGTTAATAAGTGATTAGTCTATAAATACGGTTGTAGTCCCAAAATTACAAATAGTCAGTCAGTTCATTATATAATGATATCTCATCATCAGAAATAAAGAGATTGTGAAGAAAATTCAAAGGGATTAGGTGCTAATTTAGAAGAGTAATCATCATGATAAGTTCATATACGTTTTATATCTTGATGATTTATTATGAGTTTTGATATTTTGTAGCACCCGGAAAGGAGGAGGAAAAAAAAAAAAAAAAAAAAAAAAAAAAAAAAAAAGGGGCCACGTCAGCAGCCACGTCAGCAGGCCCGGTCAGCAGTCCCGGCCAACCAGGGCCTGCCACGTGGCAAGATCGCGTCACTCCAAAAGGAGCCACGTTTGCGATCCGACGGCCCAAATCAATCGCGCGATCGGACGGCCCAGATTCAAACGCACGGACGGCCCAGATTCAATCAAAAACGAACGGCCCAGATTAAAATAAAATGAACGGCTGTGATCAAAAGGCAAGGGGTTATAAATAGAACCCCCACACCAGACCACAAACCCTAGCCGCCAGCCGCTCGCCGGAGAAGACGAACCAGAGGCCGACCGCCGCCACCCGCCGCCACTCGCCGCCGCACCGGGGAAATTTCCGACCGCCGATCGAGGTAAATTTCATACTCCCGACTCGTTTTTCCCCACTGATTCCTCCTATGGCCAAATCGAAGCCGAAATCCCGGCCAAACGGCCGAAATACGCGGCCGAAGCCCAGCGGTGCCGCCGCGCCCCCTCTCGGTTTTTGCCTCCGACGAGGCCCTTCCCGGCCTCCGTTCGATGCAATTTTTATATCACCGTGATCACCATTCTTTTCTCTACAGGTTGACCGAAGCCAAATCACCAAAACACGAACCTCGCCGGAGAGTCGCCGTACCCGAGAGCGCCGCCGCCGGTAAGCTCCGCTTTTCCGTGATTTTTTGGCCCCCCGAGGGCCCTAGGGTTGTTTCCTGACAAGGACCAATGCGAGTGTGGCCGAATTCGGCCAAAAACGGCCGAAAACAGTCAACCCGAGGCGACTCGCCGCCGCCAGCGGCGGCGCCGTCGCCGGAGCACGGCGGAGCCGCCGTGCCGGAGTTGCGATTTGGGCCGAAAGAGGCCCTGGGCCTAATTTGGATTTTTTTTGGAACACGTGCAGGTACTGTTAGTGTGTTTCAGTTCCCCGGAAAAAATTCAGGGAAAATTAGGGACAGCCTGCAGGCGCACTGTGAATCGTATTCGGATCCCGAAAACAAGTAAGGACCCCTCACCCTATTTCCTATCACGGTATTAAAGTTCAAAATGATAAAACGGTATTTCTTGAATTAACGCATGTGTGAAATTGCTTAAGGTTGCTAATGGAGCCCGAGTCTAGTGTGATTGATGATTTACTGTTATTTGGCCTGTTTTACAGCTTTAAATGCATTATGGGGTTTGATGTGTTCATTTTATAGTTTCGAGTGCATATATTACTGTTTTATTAATTATGGGTTGAATGACTGAAGAACTGATACTGTATGTTGTCTGTTCGGCATGAATTACGATTTGCTTGTTTAAATGTGAATTGATGATGCTTATTGAGGAAAAGGGAAATGAAACATTGTGTAGACTGATAATTGTATGATGGGGTCAGCCTGACTAGATATCCTGGGAGATGGTGGACGGACCGGGTCCGTAGGGAACCCTACCGGGATTGTGGTCTCACATGCCGGACGGGGCATGGAGATCTTATGGTTTTGGCGCCCATACCGGACGGGGTATGGGGACGGCCCGTTTCACCTTCATACCGGACGGGGTATTGAGGTTTATGGTTTTGGCGCCCATACCGGACGGGGTATGGGGACGGCCCGTTTCACCCTCATACCGGACGGGGTATTGAGGTTTATGGTTTTGGCGCCCATACCGGACGGGGTATGGGGACGGCCCTGGAAACTGATTATGAATGTTAAAGGTTAACGGGTAGCGGGACCCCTAGGGACCCCCATGGATACTAGTAGGCTGGTAAATGAGAAAAAGATATGTTGTACAATGATTGAAATTTCAAGGGGCGTGATAAGTGTTATGTTTTACAGCTTATATTATTCAATGATTATGATAATGTTATTGTTTTTCTTATATTGTTTTCATAAATTCCACCGAGGTAAGTGGAGGGTAAAGGTTTTCATGTTAATAAACGAGTTTGTTGTAAATTATGCTCCATTGGTCTTTTGTGTTTTTCTACCCACCTTTATCTCCGTGACGGTGAGATATCGTGATGTTCTTACTGGGCTAGTGTAGCTCACTCCTTAATTAACCATTTCAGATCAGGAAGACATGGTTCCCGAGCCCGTTCCGCAGGAGGACGACGAAGGGGATGCCTAGAGACTCTGTAGTCATACGCATAGTTTATTTTCGAGTTTTATTTCTTAGTTAGTTTAACCTTTTATATTTTAAGTACGTTTTTTTGTTTTTTTTCGTGTAAGGGATGTTAACTGAAATTTTGATCTCGCTTCCGCATTCGATATATTTAAATACTCATTTCTTTTTTAATATTTTCCGGGGCCGTTACATATTTATTTAGGAATTTATTTTGTAAATAATAAATCACTAATAATAAAAGCTAATTGTTGTAAAATATTATTTTTTTATCTAAAATAGTAATAAATTTATTGATACTTAATTCAATTTTATTATTATAATTTCGTAAATACATTATTAAGTCTAGTTATAAATTTTATTGAATCAAATATTATAAATCAGTAACTAATAATTTATCATACACTCATAAAATAATGAATTTTAATGCTAGTATATGCCATACACTTCTTTGTCATACAGAATGATGATAATATATTATACTATCGTATCGAGAAAAATTCAAATAACGCTGTAAAAACTCTTGTAATAAGGTAGATACAATTTTTTACGAGATATACCATATTTAACCAAAATCAATCTAACGAATATAAGAGAACACAAGAGAATTAATTATCGTTTTAACACAGTTAATTGTAATACTTCATATTAATTTCAATACTACTATTCTATCTTCCTTAAGTATGGAGTCTCGTGGCTAAGCATTATGGTTCCGATTCCTGTTGCACTACATCTGAAAATGAAGTTAATGAGTATACATAACCTAATAAGAACAATTTAGAATTTAAAACTAAAGTATGACAATTAATTAGACTCCCTTTCCAACATTTTATTCTATACTCTGTTGCTCATTCTTTCCTATTCACTACACCTCCTCTACACCCATGCTTATCTCACACTCACTCTTATTCCTATTTACTGCCTATTGACTCTAACCTCGTCCCTTACGACTGGTCTGGCACAGCCCGACACCCCTTTTACTCTAACTTAATACTTCATTATGGCCCTATTGACTCCTAGATACAAAACAC